CCGCCTCCCCCCTCTGTATTATCCCCCCTCTTCCGCCCCTTTTTTTTAATTTTTAGACAAGGTGTGCGGGTAGAAAAAAAAACGCGGGGGGGGGGCTTAGATCTTAGATTTCAGGGGATTTCTAAATTTGGGTGCGGGGGGGGGGGAATTATGCCTTTATTTTTTACTTGCTTCCAACTGAAAATGAACTTTGCATTCAAACATCTGCCTAGGCCTCTGGACTCCAAAAATGTCTGTTCCTTCCCCTCCATCAACTTTTTTTTACTTTTTTAATATTTTGAGAACTGTGTTGAACATCAGTGGGGTCTCCACAATGCCATCCATGGCTATGAGTCTGATTTTTATGCGTTTTAATATCGAGGAGGGATCGGTAGCTTTCGCCAAACTCCCTAAGGGCGGAAAGAAAAAACCCAAACCGCTGGGAAAGAAGAATGCTAAAATAGCAAAACTCGGCCCCAAAGATTTCCCCCTTAAAAAGAATATCTGGATTTATATTGAGAAATTGGAAAAGTGGTGATTATTCCAGGCGTTCAAGATTGGCTTTTGGAAATGTGCAATTTATCCGCTTTGGAAAAGACAATATTTTCCATATGAAGCAACTTGTCGATATAGATTTTAGGATGTTTTACAATAATATAGTGGTATTATTAGATCTTTTGGGGTTTGACAATAATCTTATTTTAGAAGGTATCTTTTGTAAAACCAGGGACGTTTACTTGTTTAACATGTATGTTAGTTGTTCAATATTGTGGTTCTTTTGTACTGTATCGGTTATTGTTTGTTTTCTGGTACTCTGTTTATTTTTCCCAAATCTTCTAAAAAAAAAAGAATAAAGATTAAATTGGGAAAAAAAAATAATGTCTGGATTTGTCCTAAAACCACATCAGGGCACAATGGGAGGTTATAACATCGCCCCCCAAGAAAGTGGGGTAAATGAATGGGGCTTGTATTCTTGGAATTGGCTGATGGGGTAATTGATTCTTCCCACCCGTCATCTTGAATTATATATAGTCTTTTTATATAGTATTGTTTTTTAGCTAATTCAATATGGATATTTATATTTTTACGATGTTTAATGTTTGATTTTATTTGGGAGCCGTCCAGAGTCACCCTCGTGGGGAGATGGGCGGCATATAAATTGAATGAATGAATGAATGAATGAATGAATGAATGAATGAATGAATGAATGACGTTCTTCCCGCTTCTGTAGGGAAAAAAATTGGGGAAAAAATAATCCAGCAAGGAAGAAATTTTGGAATTAAACCGGCACCGTTGGAGGCGAAGCCACGCAGTTCCCTCCCCACCCAAATTTAGATTCCGTTGTCCCCGAAAGATGCTCGAAAGGATCGAGGAAGAATTTGGAGGTGGCTGCGAGGTTAAACAACGTGAAGCGCTCCAGATGGGGAGTTTTATTTCCCGTTTTCGGAATAGGGGAAATAAATTATATGTCAGGATTATTGAGCGATAGAACAAGGGGCAGGAAAGCAAAGAGGTGGTTGCGACTTTCAAACTCGGGCCCTTTATTAACCACCAGCAACCTACAGCCGCTGCGTCTCTAAAGATGATTTACAGGTTTCATTTAGATCCAAGGCCATGCAGCGCCTCTTTGTAAATATCTCAGGATAGTTATAAAAACTGTAAAAAGAGAAAAGAACGAAAAGGAAGATATAAAGCCTGCTGGGCATCAAAAATTGCCAGCAACAGCAATACACTTTTCTGTTCTTCCGTTTGTCTGGCCAACTGATCGGCCCCTCGCGGATCTCGAGACCTTCGGATCTAGGAAAGGCTCCCCGCTTTTTGGGACCGTCTCCCCTAAACACGACTCCGCCATCGGACGTGTGCGGTGTCCGCGTTAAATCAGCGCCTTTCCGACTTCGGCGTGGCCCGATCCCGTTTACCCATGTTGGGGGGCAGCCAATGGCGTCGTGGGCCCGGGGAAAGGCGGGCGCCCATTTTACAGGTGAGAAAGCTGAGGCCGGAGGCAAGCGGGAGGGAAAGCTGAAGGTAAGACTCGTGCAGGGTTGATTCTGTTTCAGGGCTTCCGGCCTCCTGTCCTGCGTCGAAGGGTGCTTATTATGGGGTGCTCCCCCAAATATAATCAGGAACTAAGGCGATTAGGAGATGAGGAAGTGAACTATTAGAGGTGGGCTAATGAATTCAAAGAAATAAATAAAGTTCCATTTGTGTCGTCCCAGTAGGGTTAGTTTTAATGGACGCATTTTTCTTAACCGGCACTCACTTCTCCGTTTCTTCCATCCTTGGCGAGGTTAAACACCCCAAAAGAATTTGCCTGCGTTTTTTAAAGACATGGCAAATCCACCTTGCCTCTTTGAGGCATTTTTGGACTCCGCTCCCCACCCTCTCTGCATTGCTGGGGTTTATGGGTGCTGTAGTCCTCCCACCAACCCTCTGGGGGCCTCCACTCAGCTGCGCTTGGGTCAGCCTGGCAATTCACTCATTTTGGGGGGTTCAGCCCATCCCCTGGACGGCGAGCGAACTTCTTAAAACGATGTTTTGCAAGACGACTGGCGGCTGGAAAAACATTTTTTGAGAAGCA